ACATCAAACATCGCTGAGATCAGCATCAGGAAAGTAGTGCGCTGGTAGGGTCGTTTTTCGATGCACAGACTGAATGAGTAGAAAGAAAATCAATTAATTTCATGAAAGAGATACACATACATCGCCATCCAATTCGAAATCGTTGCACAGCAAAATGTCGACTATCTTCTCAGCGCATCACTTGCAACTTATTATCTTCATCAACAATCCAAAAAAATCAAAAAAAAATTGCTAAGTAGTTAGTTGCTCAGCAACAATTTAAGAGCAAGGGGCCCACGCTACCTGTACAGTTCGTTGAAGTCTAAGAAGGGGAGCCATATTTCGTCGCGTGAAGTGACGATTCTGGGGGAGGAGAAAGGGGAGCGTCCCTAAATCCACTCATGACAGTACAAACATGAACATGATCGGAAGGATGGATGGAGCCTCTTACCCATTTGACTCAAGAACTATTCCATTGACTGAATAAATGTTTTTGTTTACCACGAATAAGAGCCAGACTTTGTTCCACTCTCAGTGACACGAATGCATAATCCAATCCCTCCAGCATCTCTTTCTTCAATCTCTCCAGAATAGCTCCAGGAAAACGGTGAGGCTGCTTCAGCTTCAAGAACTTGGCCAGAAATTTCGGCTCCCCTAGGTAGACTGTTGAGCCAGGAGAAGGCGTTAATGTTTCTCGCCGTGTACAACATTGACTTTCGACGTGCTGCTCTGTGACTACCTAGTCCATTCTCCAATACTGAACGCCCCTCTTGCTCCACTTACCCCCAGATTGGTTACGCTAAAAGGAGAAGAACGCGCGAGAAAGAGTTAGTCTTAGAGTGACGAGAGATGCCTCAAAGAAGTTGAACAGAATCGCTATCGTGCCCTCCGTCAATAGAGTCGTCACTCACGAGGATTCGAGTGCGGTGAACATGGTTGGATTTCGTTTGGAAAATGACAAAAAGAGAACTATCGGCATCGCTGTCGTGAAGAAAAAAAGAAAGCTATCGCTGCCATGACTATCATCGCCCACCCCTATGATTGTATCAATCTTCACTCGTTTTTTTACTGCTCGTAGTCCTGCTTCCTGTGCGACCATTTTCATCATCATCATTCAGCCGTAATATCTATTCCCTCTTATCTGTGTCTTCTTGTTTTTTAGGTATAACCACATCAGTGATCGATCATTCCATTTCGATGAACAAGCAGTTACTTACTTAGTAAGGCAATCCATCAATCTATCTCGATCATTCCAAAATTTACCCCACCTCCATTATTCCACCTCATTACTTAATCAATTTACCCCATCTGATCCATCAATCCGAATGCACCCAAACCAACAATCTTCTAACACTGACTCCAGCTACAGAAGGCCTCCAACCAATCCCAATTATTTTCTAGGTTAGAAGAAAGACGAATCCGATTGTCGCAGAGACGTTTTCGTAGAGATATTTGCAGGATAGCCGTTTCGTTCTATTTAAAAACTATCAAGATCGACAACTCCAGACGATCAAGAGCAATTCATTAAAGACAAGAAAAGTTGGACTTCTTCTTATACAGGAAGAGGAATAATATACAACAGGATGGCGTCGATGGATCTTTCTATTACTACCAACAAAAATCCAGGAGTTGAGGCTGGTCCCTCGTTTTGGGGGTGGCGTACGCTTACGCTTTGCTGCATGCTGCTTCCGTTTTAAGGCTTGGCTTTGTAGTTTCTGTTCACAAAAACGACTTGATCTGGGACCTTGACAAAGGCGAGGACTCTTACTTTCTTAACAAGCTCGTCGACTTGTTTTCCGTCTCCACTATAGCCCCGAGCGCTTGTCTCTTTGTAGAGGAGACCACTCCTTGAGTAAGTATCCTATTCCTAAGCAACTGCGGTATAGTTTGTAAGCAACGTCCACACTCATCTAAGTAGACTTGCTAGATGTCTCATCTACAACATATACTTGAATCCTTCTACTCTAATCTTACCTGCTCTTTTGTTTGGTTGACATCGGCACCGGCGGCTCCGTTGTGAGCGGAGCTGTGGAGTATGTCCTCACTGCAGCCGCGATTGGGACCGCAGCTATTATGGAATTTGAAAATATAGTACTTCTACTACAACTTTGTGGACTTTTTTTAGAATTTTTATCGTAACAAGACTGTCCTCCATGTTGAATGCTACTACTATAGTTTACTACTCTCTCTACGAGTTGCTTTGTTTTGAGTTGTTGTTTACAAAGTTACCACAAATAGAGCAAACTGCTACTACTCTCTCTACTACTTGAAGTTCTACATTATAATGACATTATAGAGTTCCTCTTACCTAGCTTTTTCAGAGTTATACTACAAGTTCTTTTGATGTTTTAGGACTTCTGTGGTACTACAACTTCTAAGATGTCATCCTCTTCTGTGGTACTACAACTTCTAAGATATCATCCTCTTCTGTGGTACCTGCCGAGACCTTTTTGGAATCCGGCAACCACCAGTCTGGCAAAGCCTCGTGCAGTGGTTCTTGCGGTACTCCCGATAAAGGCAAGTCGACTAAATCCAATGGTGGAAAAGACACGTCGACAGCTAATGGTGAAGTGGAAGCTGCCGCAATTGAAGATGGTGACGGGCCTGCTGCTGCTCGTCCTCCTGCTGCTCTCGCCTCTCCCACTCCCACTCCCACTACCACTCCCATTACCACTCCCACTACCACTCCCACTACCACTCCCACTACCACTCCCACTACCACTCCCACTACCACTCCCACTACCACT